ACTCGCGGGATGGACAAACAATAGATATCGGTTTTGTTGCAGAAAGGCAGCTTTCTCCAAGAAGTGCTCCATAAGAAATATGTTCGGCTGCCCTGCGCTGAGGAGCTCAGCTGCATGGCGAGATTCATGGAGATTGATCGACGGGGAATCTGGATCAAAAACTTTTTCTACAGCCTAATAAGCCGCTCTCAGTATACGGGATGATACGATTCTGCATAAATAGCAGGCTTTCATTATTGTCGGGGAATTCAAGCCTTCTTCTTGAATTAGGCTCCTATTGGACATACGCGAAGCTGAACACGAGAAAATAAAAGGGACGGAAAGCGGGCCTTGACTCGATTAGAGAGCCACAAAGCCCGGCGATGTGACAGTGAAGATTGCGTGCTCTCAGGGAGATATCTGTTCGAGCTCGAAGTTTGAACGGGCAGCTTCGACCTGAGTGATGCTCGAATTCAATAATTCTCCGCAGGAAGAAAGAGCTCCTTGAGCACGCCCAGTAGGTTTGTCCACTGTCAAGTTCCCTATGATAAATCGATTCGGTTCACGCGAAACTGCTGCCAGGGAGAATTCGAGTTGCCTGCGAGAAATGCGTTCGCGACTCTTCCCATATATCTCGGGAATGGTGTGCGGCGGCATGTCGAAATAGGTTCGAATATCAACATGAGTGTCCGATATCAGCTGCCGTAAGCGTCGACGTCGTCGCCTCAGAGGTGTGATGATCGATCGAGGTTGTTGATTCGCATTCCAACTCGTCTTCGGGAGTTGGGAACGAGATACGCCGCGATTCAGAATCGCCGGATCCATCTCCATGGATCGGCTCGCAGCAAGTCCAGAAATCGGAATCGTTGAATCGGTGCACTCCGTGCTCGACTCCATCGGTCGATCTGCTCCCAAACAGTTTGATCTTGATTCCCCAGTCTCCTCCAATCGACTCTCTGCCAGCATTCTAAGATGGGGGAGCAACGATTCCAGTCATGGAGCCTCTGGAGAGCAGAGAGGAGATACATATGGCGGGAACTCGGAGCCTTGAGTAGCTCCAGGAAATCAGATCGAAAGCATAAGATTCGAGGCGAGGACCGAAGAGCCAATGCGAAGTACCTTCTCGGAAACGATCAATCTTTGAACTGTGCTAAATGAAATTTATGAATCTGACGGGGAGACCCGAAGTCGGAAAACGAGAACGTGGAGACCCGATGTCGGAAAACGAGAGGAGGAACAATCGTCCTTTTGGTCGACTGAAAACTGATTCGAAGCAGGAGAACGAGATCCTTCCCCATTCCATTACACGTCAAGCTGCGAATCTCGTGCTTATTACCCGTATTTTGGGCAAGAGAAATTCGGAAACCTAAGTTACAATAGAATTCGCTCAAGCGAGCGTCACGCGAAAAGCTCTGAAGAGGGATGGTCAGATAAATTGGCGCGATCCTCAAACTTAAAAACAAAAGAGGCACAAGCGGAAATTGAAACTTTGGGTGGAGTTAAGAAAAGTGACCAGAAAAGAAAATGAGAACACGAAGGGCAAACCCGACTTGGGATTGAGGCTGCAGAAAGTCTCGGCTACTTATCTCTTTGATCAGCACCTGTACTCGAAAGGACACGTAAAAGTCATCACAGCCCTTGGACAGTCCGACTCGCAGAGCCGGGGATCCAATCGAGCCTCTAGGATGTCCGATTCGATTATCGCCGTCGTGCTACTCTACTCGGGACATAGGAGAGAAGAGAACACCGAGATGATGGAAACGTGAAATGATACTCGATATGTCTTTCATATGAAACGCTACCGTTTCACTTCCGAGATGTTCTTGCAGAGAACTCAACTCTACTGTGTCGCTTGGCCGTGCCGCGTGGTTGCACAACTCATTGATTTGAGGACCTCATGAAGTCCTCTGCATCTTCGTTCTGCATAAGACAGCTGAGTGCGCGTACTCATTGAGTATCTCATGAGTCTACATCATCCGCCTCCCGCCAGTCACGATTCCGCTCTCTGATCTCACCTCTATCTCTTTCCAATCAGTCTCGAGTAGCATGTCCCCTCCTTTCGTTCATTTCCATTCATCAAGCGTCGATTTGGCTCGAAATTCAAGTCCCCTGATCTGGAATTCGGAATCTAAGGATTGACCTTTCGCCTGACCCTTCCCTCCTGTACGTATGCCGAATATCCTACTGCCGGACGACATGACGCATTGAACGCGTCGCTCCGTGTCTGAACGTCATCTGGAGAATTTGGTTCCTGTCGTGAGATTTGAAGTCGACAAGCAGCTTCATCGAGAATCTCAGAAAGACTCGTCACCTCAACTCGATCTCCTTCTCTCGAGGGGATCCCGAGGACTCGTTCCCTCCGTGCCGTGAAATAGCTTTCGGGAGATTTCCCTGTGTTTGAAGACCTTTTCCGATAGATTCGGTCGCATTCGCTGCTACAGTATACCCGGGGGTCGGGCCCGCATTGGAGGCGAGGCGACGAAAAGCATTCCATTCAACCCGCTGGTCGAGCAATAGCATCGGGAGATCTGTTGCGTAAACAAGGAGCACACCTACTCAGCCAAAGAAGAAATAAGAGTCTCGAACCCACTGTTCCCGATCTCTTTTCGTTCGCACTCTGTTCTCATTCCCTCGTTTTTCTCCACTGGCTCTGCTCGCATCTCGCTTCACTTCCTTCACCGAGTTTCTCCTTTTTTTACGCAATCTATCCTCTCTCGATCTTCTCCCCTGCCGTATTCCGTTCCTTACCTTTTTCAGTGGAGCTTATTTTTTCTTTTTCTTTCTTCTATTTCCCTGGGTCCTACCATTCATTCTCTCGGTGTCAGACTCAACCAACGGACATCGACTGGAGTGGAAGACTCGATCGGGCTGTTGCTCCGCTGAGCTTCGGAAGCGTACTGTGGTTTGCATCCCGCATGCGAGAGGCGATCTGTTGGCGAACGTGACAGCGAGTCAAGTAGAGCATTCAACCGAGCGCTCGTCGGACCAACTCACCGAGCAGGCGAAGAAAAACCGCCCACCCATACAGGTTCCCTCTGCGAGGGAGGAAGCGAGCGAGTTGGCTCCCGGTAGATCCAAGCGGCGCGAGGGCGAGCGGACTCCCGACCACGGAACCGAACTTTGGTCGTTCTGCGAACACTATTTGCAACACGTAGTCTGTTTTCACTCTATTTGGTTGTATCGATTCGTTCCACTTGTGACTCTCGTCGGCAACTTGTTCGCTTGGCTGCGCGCATACTCGTTTATTCAGTTTCACAACTTTTGTGATCCGACATCCCGCCCGGGCTTTGTGAGCGCCTCGCTTCTGGGGAATGCGTGACTCAAAATTCGAAACGTGACTCGCAACAGCGCCCCGGTGCGATCAAGTGATCCCTAGAATCTACTGATCAGCATCGGACTCAATCACGTCTCTGACTGAATCGAGCGATGTAGACGCAATGCGCTCCAACAAGTCCGTTGGGTGCGTGCAGGGAACCGCAACGGCTATTCCCTTCCCCACTCACAGACAATGCCCGGAATTCCGCTTCCGGCTTTCAGAGTTCTGACAGGAGGGTTTCGGGGATATTGGTTCTCCCGAATCCCTTCAACTGCGGGGACACATTCGCTCCGAGGCCGAGAGGCATCTGACTGGGCTACGGGTCCGAAATTTTCCAAATCTTGCTCCCCATCAGTTCCTGAGCTCACTCTCCGAGAGGACGCAAATTGCGCAAACATCAACGATCAAGGAAACTTGTGACTAGAACAGACCCGCGATGTTATTTTTGCGGAGAGAACGAGGAAAGGAAGGATGTTAATTGACGTCGTCCAGTCTGTGGGTGACATCGCTAGAATCTCCCCCTGCTCTGTCCGCGGGACTCGGGGTCTCCCGATTCATACGTTTTCCCGGATAACCTCAACGGAGAAAATTCCGAAATTACCGGAACAAACACCGTATTCATATCCATGATATGTTGCATCGGTGGTGTCATTGTTCCCTCGTTCGTACGATTATCCACGATCCACCCTGGGGGGCTGTGGCAGGTTGGCTGACTCTGAATGCTGCTCCCACTGCCGCGTTTGCCGTTTCCACGAGGATGTTGGATTAATTTCCTCAGCTGTTCGTAACCGTCAGAATGGTGTTACGATGGGACAGGTCCGAAGAGGGTTTGGAGATAAATGACAGTGAGACCACCGGGTGATTACCGCCAGCACAAAGGCCGGCGGGGAACAGCTTCTCGTCTTGGGAGTCGGGCAATGGATGATGATCCCGCTCCTTCTGATCATGATAATACCACAATGAACATGATGGAGCCGCATCGAGCTCTCCTAGGACCTTCCCGACAAGATCGCTGAACGTATAGAATGGTTTCCTATTAAAACTGAGTAAGTGACTTAATCTTTGAGCGAATTCAAACATCGGAGGGATTCACGTAATATTAAAAGAAAACCGAGAGAAGAGCTCGTCAAAGCTCGGGGCAGAAATTTGGTGCTCGCCGGTCACATCCCTGAAACACTTACCGACATCCTCAACTGAGGACCAACCGGACTGGAGTATTCTTCTCTTATCCATACGTATCGCGTTCTAGGATCGGTTCCGATCTCATCGAGGTCGGATGGAGGTGTGCGTTCACTCAGGGTAGAGGAATTTCGGAAGAACGGGATCCGGGAAAAAACTCCGCTGAACCCATGAGAGCTCTCGAATTTAGGGAATCCATACGCTTTCGTCTTCTTGAATATCAAAACTATGGGAGGGCTCAGCTTCGTCTGCTGCGATGTGACGTCTTCCAACGGAGATGCGGAGCATTCTACGGGAAGCAGCACTAACGGGGAAAATGTTCAATTTCAGTCAAGACGAGCGAATCGGGCGGCCGGCCCCACCGGGCTGAGGGGCGCGATGAATGCAAGCGAAGGAAACGAATCGGTCGAAACAAAAAGCTGGAGCACGCGACTGGGGGCGAAGCCGTGATGATCGCCCCCTCGAGTCGTCGCCAGCTGGATAAGAAGCTAAGTGCACCTACGTCTTCTGGGTGCCGCCGTGGCACGCCACCATGAATCTCGACGCTGAAAATCGCGTCGTGCTCAACGTAGGAGGAATACGCCACGAGACGTACAAGGCCACCTTGAAGAAAATCCCGGCCACACGTCTCTCGAGGCTGACGGAAGCGCTCGCCAACTACGATCCCATACTGAACGAGTACTTCTTCGATCGACATCCAGGCGTATTCGCTCAAATTCTAAATTACTACCGAACGGGCAAGCTGCACTATCCGACCGATGTGTGCGGGCCGCTGTTCGAAGAGGAACTCGAGTTCTGGGGGCTCGACGCCAATCAGGTCGAGCCCTGCTGTTGGATGACGTACACCCAGCACAGAGACGCCCAAGAAACATTGGCCGTACTCGATAGACTAGACCTCGATACAGACAAACCGAGCGACGAGGAAATTGCTCGAAAATTCGGCTTCGAAGAGGACTACTACGCCGGACGTATTACGTGGTGGCAGAAAACCAAACCGAAAATGTGGTCCCTGTTCGACGAGCCGTACTCGTCGACGGGGGCGAAGGTGATCGGAGTTATGTCTGTGTTTTTCATCTGCATCTCGATTCTATCTTTCTGTCTGAAAACGCACCCCAACATGAGAGTTCCCGTCATCAAGAATATCACGGTGCGGACGTCGAACAAAGAGACGGCCTGGACTCTCGATAAGCAACAAACGAATCCCCACGAAGCGTTCTTCTACATAGAGGTAGTTTGCAATGCGTGGTTTACGATAGAGATTCTCTCACGTTTCATAGCTTCGCCGTCGAAGCTAGTTTTCGTGCGCGGTGCCGTCAACATCATCGATTTCACGGCCACGCTATCGTTCTACATAGATCTGGCTCTGCAGCGGTTCGCCTCACATCTCGAGAACGCCGATATTCTCGAGTTTTTCTCTATAATCCGTATAATGCGACTGTTCAAATTGACGCGGCATTCCGCCGGTCTGAAAATCCTCATCCAGACGTTCAAAGCGAGTGCCGGAGAGCTCATACTTCTGGTATTCTTCCTTGTGCTGGGTATTGTGATATTTGCCTCACTTGTCTACTACGCGGAGAGAATTCAAACGAATCCCAACAATGATTTCAATAGCATCCCACTGGGCCTGTGGTGGGCTCTAGTGACGATGACCACGGTGGGCTATGGCGACATGGCCCCGAAAACATACGCCGGTATGTTCGTGGGCGCACTCTGTGCCTTGGCTGGAGTGTTGACGATTGCGCTTCCAGTACCTGTTATAGTGTCCAATTTCGCTATGTTCTACTCCCATACGCAAGCGAGGGCGAAACTGCCTAAAAAGCGGCGTCGCGTGCTGCCCGTCGAAGTACCCCGAGGGCCTAATCGCAGGGGCGGGACTCATGACGTCAAAGGAGCCTCGATAGGCAACAAGTTTGGTAAGTCACTATCGCTCCCGATCCTTCCACCTACACCCTTCAATTCTCCAAATTGATTTTGGAAATTCCCTCGCATCAGCGGGGTGTCTGACCAGCGGCGGACTGATACGATCCAACGATACTATCGCTTCCGATAAATAGCGTTGGATTTATCTCAGTCGGTCCGGTGTCGTTTCGAAAGTAAAATAAAATCGAATCCCTGTCGCCGTCATGAGTTTCTTTTTCGTTCCAGGACAACAAGGTACAGAAGAGACTCAGCCTCCTCGACCGCCTCTGAAGCCTCGGGGTGAGTTGCTAAGACTCTGATTCGTAAATCTTCGAAATGAAAAACTGCACCAATACAAACTCGAAGGTGAAAATCTTTCAAACGTAATCACGTACTAAGACCGCCATCCCTTGGCAATCCGATACCGGGCCCATCCGGTGCGGTCTGCTCGAGAATTCCGCAACGTCGACAGAGACGAAGTCTTGATTGTCCAGAATTACTCCCGAATCGATTCCGTTCGAATTATTCCTGGATTTCGACATCGAGTTTCCTTACTCGAGAAGAGCTTCCGAGCCTCAGAAGGCAGCAGGACTCGCTCCCGCTCCCGTTCCGGACTCCAAAGTCACTTCAGTCATCGCCTCGGGGCAATTTCTTTCATCTAGGATGGAAAACTCCGGGACTGAGATATTTATGCTTGGTTCCGAGGAAGGAGACTGCGTAACGTGAAGGTCCGGAGTTGTTCAGCCGAAGACGAACGAAAACTCCCTGTACGGTTTCGATTGTCGTTCGTCTACGTCTATGGCATCGAAACCGATCTTTGGTCCGGAGATCGCGCGCGAAAATTCTCATCTTCGCTTCTTGCCCGTTTTTGCTCCTCGCTTCTGACCGTCAGACAGAGGAAGCGACAGCGCGACTGACCGACATCGCTCTTCATTCCAGCTCCTGTTCTGCAAGAGGAATATATACCCATGCTTTCGATTAACCACGCAGAGGGTTTGAATCCTAAACCTCGACGGCCCAGCGACCAAAAACCCGGCTCGAGCTGCGTCACCAGTGCGGGTCCGCAACGTGAGTCCATTTCCAAACAATCCATCAGACGGGGCAGCCGACAAGCCGATGGAGTTTTTCCCTCTCGCTCTTGTCGTCGGAACACGAAATCAGAATGATATCCAAACGGAGGGGCCTGCTCGAGGTTTGCTGACAACGTTTGACAATTTTCAGCATCGACGAGCGCCGCCGCATCAGGTACCATCGCTCCACCGACGACGAGTCCCACTACGCCGGGACCCAGCACGTCAAAAGGCTCTCCCGATTTGTTCCCACTTCAGTTAGCGGCCTAAACGAAGGTTCCGTCCTCTTCTGTACCGCTTTTACTGCTGCCGCTGTTGCTGCTCCTTTTCATGGCTGCTATTACTCCTGTTCGGAGCCGAGGGGGAACCCTGGAGAAAATCAACTTTCATTTCGCCAGTATGTACAGCGATGTTTTGAGAGGAAGCAGACGAACCCCATCGTCGGCGGCTCCTTGGTGCATTTTTAGCTTCAAATCGAACAATCCTCATCAAGAAAAAAGAGCTTCCCGCGGCGATAGACGGAACACCAGGGACACCACATGGAAATCAACGGAGAGGGAATCAGAGCACCGAATTTCCGGAACTCGAATCGAGGAGATCTTCCCCCATCAGACAGCGATATGGCTCCAAAAACGTCAAGTGTTCCCGATGGAGTTCAGCGGGAGCGTTCTCATGTGTTCATATTGCAACATTTTACTTCAAACAGCGGTTCGCCATGATCGCAGTTGATTGCCGCTTCGAGAGGTGGCAATTTCGCGTTGTAAGCCGTTTTGTACATGATAGTCGGCCTGGTGATACCGAATTGTGTGAGAGCCATGCGACTGCGTTTCGTGTGAATGCGTAATTGATGGGAATTAACTTAAAACGACGACGGTTGCGTCCCACCGCCTCAAGCCAGTATTTAGCGAAACTCTCCAAACTAGGAGCGAATGTCGACTCGTGAGGCTGATATAATGTATCAAGGTCCAAAAGTGAAGAATTTTCCAGAGAGAACTCTGACCAGAGTCGGAACAGAACAACTGCTCCGAGTTTACCCGATGAGATAAAGGGCGAGAATCAGACGTTTAACGATATGATGATGGCGTCCAATGACAGAGCTCAACCAGAGGGGGGATTTTCAGCAGGATTCGATGATCTTCATGAGAAACACAGACTCGCATCACAACGTCTTCTTGGGAGACAACGTCAGATCTCGAGAAATTTTGGCTGAATACGGTACTCTGGGTCTGAGACTCGGAGCATCTCCACAAATCTTAGAGACGACTGACGTGATTCTCCCTCTCGAGGAGACGAGAAAGGAGATACCGAACGCGAAAGCTGATGACCGATGAGGAGTTTGAGAAAAAGTTTCTCAGATAAGCTGATAGAATTACTTCCCGGCAGGGGGGGTAATCGAAGGCACAAGCCACGCCTTGAGTGCAGGAGCTACAAACAGAGCATGGAGTGGTGGAAATGAAGTATTTTGCCTAGCTTTGACGTTTTAGTCATACTTACGACAAGTAATAGATAGAGCCGTGTTGACGAGGAAAAGGGGGAAATACAAATAAATTAGGAAAAATTATCGCCGTGATCGACGGCCACCGAGTCGAAAAGTTTCGTCACGACCGGTCACAGCCTGCCACGCTGCATCGCTGGCCAACATCGCGCCCATATAGCCTCGATTCGAATTTTTTCAAAATCGAGTCGAATATCGGTCGGCTCCCGCATTGAACGGGAGTACCTCCGTGATGCATGACCACGAACAGGAATGATTTTTTCGCTAGAGTCCCTTCTCTTATGAATGGCAGATCGTTTAATCGTACGATTCAATGCGAATGCGATTCCGTGCGATGCTTTCTCGAAATCTAATGATTCTTCTGCTCCGGATTCGCTATCTGGGTGACAAATTGTCTGGAGAATTTTTCAAGAGATACCACTCACTCTGATTTTCATTGTTTAGGTTGTCTTCGAATTGACCCTAGTCGGAGCTGCGACCGTCTCCGGAATCCCCGAAAGGCGCGAGTCGATCGCTTCTAGGGAATTCGGAGAGCGCATCGGCTTCTAGGAAACCCCTGTACATAAGGTGAAGGAAGGTTTTTTTTCTAAAGTTCATTGTGCGAGCGAGCGTGCGAAAGGACAGCGTGAGCAGAACAAATTCAGAGGAACAAAGCGAAGCAAAGATTCCAGCATCTGATCTCCCAGAGAAGTCGCTGCGAGCAACATATCATGCGCCGTCTTGCGTTTTTTTCTGTCGGTACGGAAGGCTCACTGAGTAGGTGAAAAAGACGATGGCGACGTCAGGAGCGAGCGATGACGATGACGAGAGAACGAACGTAGGGTCGACCACGGATTTCCGGGAGAAAACCCTACGGATACTGAAGCTACCCTACGTGGGACCAATCGACAAAATCGAGTCATAGGAAGAAACCTTTAGAGAGGAGGGATCAAAACGATGGCGAGGAAGTTAGGAGCAACATGGCCATTTCTTAACGAATCTACCTACTGTTTAAAGGCAACTATTATTGAGAATACAAAGCAATACGATTGCTGCGTGAGTAGGTGATACGGGGGTGCGACGCTCGATCCGTCTCCAAAAATCCTCTCAATCTCGCACGGAACCCAGCACGACACGCATATGTACGTAGATTGATCTTACTCCTGGAGAAGTCGCCTCGGTCTCTCGAAATGAGAGCTTCGACGGGGATCCCAAATTCTAGCCAAACGCATTTTTCCGCCTTCACCCCCTCGGTCATCTTCAACATTATTTCTGATCTACTCAAGATCGAATCCTGGTTCTCATTCTTCCTTCCGAATAGACGCTGTTCGTCTCGGAACTCGCTCCAAATGCCCGAATCGGGTTCGATCATCATTGATCTAAGGTTCAGCTACGGACACTTCCAAAGAGAGGAGGCGCTATGTGCGAGTTTTGAGATGACGGTACCTTGGCGTGTGGAGTCACGCAGCTGTTTCTCGGCCGTGGGCGATCGGTCTATATTCTTCTCATCGGTTTGTAATTGCATGATTCTTGTTCAATAATCATTGTTGAATGTTGAAAGGCTAAAGAAGCGGGCGTGCGCAAGACTGGGAGATGCAGTGAGGAATGTGAAAGTAACCTTGCGTTCGTGTGCAGCATCGACATCATGGCGATTCAGCTACAAGACGGCAGCAAACATTTTCCAGGCTAGAATTCTTTATCTATAGAGTATCACCGCTACTATTTTCACTTCTACCTAGCGAAAAATCAGTCGTGCGTGCAGAACGGCTGAGCGAGAGAAATCTCTAGAAAGTTCGTTATCCGACTCAATTACGTCCCTGTTACCGTTAAGGGGCATCTATAAGTAGGTGAAGCTCTGTTTGAGTGTCTATCTGACGAGCGACAATACGAGAAATGAGAGATATTTTGTTCTTCTTTCCTACACCTTTTGCTTCTGCAGAGCTCGGAGGTCCAACCTCCCCCATTTCCTGTATATAATGGTTATATCATCAAAAAACTACAACCACACACCGCATGGAGACAGAGAGATGAAACAGATGTTCAAACGAGGGTGATGATCACTTGCTAATGACAGGACTGATTGAGTGGAGAGAGAAAGATTTCGAACTTGAAACGTAAACTTTGTGGATACACTCGCGAGAGACGGACAGGCAGAAGAGGATAAATAATGAAAATTATGAGACTGGATAAACCTAATGTAATAATCGAATTTGAATCGATAAATAAATTATTATCTCATGGTCTTGAACATGTCGATTGTTTTCAATCCGAGGGGACTTCTGTCCAATGTATCGAATCGGGGTGTTTGAGGTGCAGCTCCGATGACTTGCGTGCCCATGTCGGTGCCGTTCTGCCCCGTCCTGGAATTCGAAACACGTTCCTGTCAAGCTGACCCGAGCGCGAGTCTCGAAGAAGAATGCAACGTTATCTTTGCTCTCAGGATCAAAACTATCAAAAATCGTCGAGTGACGCCACAGCCAATACGAATCCCGGCTCGAGAGGCAAGACATGATTCACTTCAATAACTGAAGACATCGGTTCCCTGCTAATGCGCATGACAGCTTGCCCTAACGGCAGTCGAGTTCTCTGATCTGCATCTACGGCCTCGCGTGGATCCCATGATTCTCCTCGGCTCCATCGAATGTATCCTTGGAGTCCTGCGATGGATCGAAGGCGGAAATCCATGGAATTCCCGAGAACCGCATGGCGAGCCACGGTGCTGACTCGAATTCAAATCATTTCCCGGATCATTCAAAATAAGTACTCGATAGCTTCCGAGATGGCTCCACCGAATCGACTCGGGAGAGATCTATCGTTAAAAAACTCGCCCTCCTACCTTGAAGAGGATGCGGATGGCGAGCTTGCGTGCGAGCTGGTTGATTCACACATGTTTCGCACCACGCTGCCCGAAACTTTTGATGACGATGTGCTGCCAGGGCTTCAACAACAAGCGGAGATTCGTTGCTAGGAGATTCGTTTCGAAGATAGATTGCAGACTTCAAGCCTCACACCACACTAAATGAAGCCGGTCACCGCTCCTTCCTGGATAGAATGCACCACGCTAATGGATGGAGCCAGCCCACGCTTTTTTCCCGGCTCATCGATTCCCCATCGGGGGCACTAAGACCAATGTGAGCTTGTATTTGTGATGAGGTGAAGAAAAAGCACCTCGGAGGCTTTTCAAACCTAAGGTAAGGAGGCAATCGGAGCTCTCACTGGAGCCCGACTTCCAACTCCCAATCCGCGGCGGAATTTAAGGATTTCCGCCTATGGATGACATTACGAAGGTTGCTGTGACATCGCGCTGTCCTGGGTCGGACAGCCGCAGTAGCAATAATTGTCTGATAGCTCTCGATCCTTCCTGTGGGTCGTGTGAATCATATGATGTGAATCCTCGCAAGCTTTCCCCCTCCCCAAAGCGCTGAACCCATGCTCATTTGACTCTCATGCATATCTATGTATCATGCGCAACGTCTTTTCGATATTCGTGGAGCTACCCGATTCGCGTCCGGGATCTTCATTCGCCGATGCCGTCACTGACGAGCGGAACACAGCTAAGGATCGGAGAGGTGTTTGCAATTCATACGGACACCGGATCGCGCCGTCTAAAATTCCCATTTGTAACAGACTCGTTACATGTTTCACAAGTTGTGCCTCCCGAGGATTCATCGGCTGCAGCTACCTCGATATTCCCGTCGAGGGCCAGCCAATCATGGCTTTCTCCACAACACGTCTTGCTTCACTCACCGTCGACTCGCTCACTCCTCAATCGGTGTGCGATGGAAGCTAGGAGCAA